ATGATGGTGGATAAGGCATTCTGTAAGTCCCTGGATAGTGGTTTTGGCAGAAGCATTATGTGCAGGAAAGGCAAATCCATAACCAGAATAAATGTCTATTCCTGTAAGGACAAAATGCTGTCCCCTCTAAGATGGAAGTGGTCCAATGTAGTCAACCTACCACCAGGTTGCAGGCTGGTCACCATAGGGAACAGTGCCATATGGGGACTCAGTGTTGGTCTCTGCTGTTGGCAGATCTGGCACTCAGCAGTAGCTGTAGCCAGGTCAGCTTTTGTGAGTGGGAGTCCATGCTGTCGAGCCCATGCATAACCTCCATCTCTGCCAGCATGGCCACTTTGTTCATGGGCCCATTGAGCAATGACAAGGACAGCTGAAGAAAGAGGCTGATAGTCCACAGAGCAGGTCATCCGATCTACTTGATTATTAAACTCATCTTCTGCTGAAGCCACTTTTTGATGAGCGTTTACATGAGACACAAGTATGTTCACATCCTTTGCCCATTTGGAGAGATCTATCCACATACTTCTTCCCGAAATGTCTTTCTCACCAATTTTCCAATCATGCTCCTTCCAAGTCCCTGACCATCCAGCCACCATTGGCTACAGCCCATGAATCAGTATATAATCATACTTCTGGCCATCACAGTCTCCTTGGGTCCATTTATAAGCACAATATCCTAAGTAGCATATTCTGTTCACCAAAGCAAGTCACAAGCCAGCCCAGACTCAGGATCAGGGAAAACGAACTCCATCTCTCAACAGAAGGAGCATTATGTGGCATTTTGTACAGAGAGAGCAGGACCCACCATGTCTATGTTTAGAGACTGAAACATTCCCTGACCTTCAGTTTCCTCATCTGAAAATGGAGATTTTTATCTGTCATCTCTCCTTATGTTCTGCAACCAACCACAGATAGAAAATATTTTTGAAACATTAAGTTGTTGATGATATACATCATGTAATTGGGCCTATAATTTGCCAGAAGTCCTTTTAAAACCACCCAGACTAGTAGCTAATGGCACCCTATATCCTGGGTCTCTGTCTCTCTGTCTGTCTCTTTCTCATAAACTGCTCTCTAAAATTCACCCTCTGTGATCCATGATGACCTGGAGGCACTGACTCAGTGGAAGGTTGTTTTTTTGTGGGTTTTTTTGTTCTGTTTTGTTTTTGGTCTTTTTGAGACAGTGTCTCCCTGTAGCCCCAGTTGGCCTGGAACCCATTATGTAGACCAGACTGGCCTCAGTCTCACAGAGATATGCCTGCCTCTGCTTCCCAAGTTCTGGGATTAAAGACATGTGTCACCATGCTCAGGTCCAGTGGAAATTTTGTGACTTTGAGTGTCCATCACCCTAAGGTTTGAGTTAAAAGCATACCCAAGAGTTGAGAAAGGCTCTGCTGCTCCCAAAGGCACCCCAAAACTTTCCTGTATCCATATAACAGCTATTTACAATACATTTATATTGCAGACAGTATCATGAGCAATCTAGAGATGATTTAAAGTCTATGAGGTGCATTGACTATGTGTAATCACATTATTTTATACAAGGTACTTGGACATCATGGATTTCTGTTCTTTATGGTGATTCTGTAACTGATCCTCCTCAGCTCCTCAATTAGATTAATGAGAGGATAAACAGATAAAGTATGTGATGTCTGATAGTGTTTTATACATTTTAAAGTGCTGAACAAATAGAAGATCTTTTAGTGGTGGTGATAAAGGTGGATTAGAATTGAAGCAGAATATATAATGTCTTAAAGGCAGATGGAGGTGCCTGGAGTGGTAGTACACAACTTCACTTGGGAGGCAGAGGCAGCAGGAAAGTCATTCTCAGATACATAAGTCTGAGTCCAGTCTGGGCTACATGAGGCTCTAGAGGAAGTTTTTGTAATAAAATATTTTTGTTGTATTTGTTATGCATCAGGCATCATATCAATTGTTTTATAGGTATTTTGCTGTTATTGTTATTTATTTATTATTTATTTATTAGATAGATGGGAGGGAGGGAGGGAGAGAGAGACAGAGACAGAGACAGAGAGAGAGAGAGAGTTTCATGTAGCCCAGGATGAGCTAGAACTCCTGATCCAAGTTCTGGGATTACAGGCATGCACCACCTCACCCAGCTTACAAATATTATCTTTAATCATCAAAACAACACAAGATTGATATTTGGTGCCAGTTTAACAGAAAAGTAACTGCAGGTAATTGGTAGAGCCAGAACTTGAACCCAATTCTGTCTGTTTCCAAAGTCTTAACTATCACAGCTAGAATTTCTTTCATCACGTATATAACACAACCAGTTGGCAGATTTCAGAGATGAAACCCAGAATGGGCATTTTTTAAACAGCCACATTAATGTAAGGGAAGCATTCAACTTCCCTACTTTACAGTGAGTTCTTTAGTGTTTCACAGGCTTAAAGGAAAATTAGATTTGCAGGACCGGAAAAAAAAAAAAAAAAAAAGACTTGGACAAGGAAAGTGTAAAAAAGTGGGCTGGAGAGATGGCTCAGCGGTTAAGAGTACTGGCTGCTCTTGCAGAGGAACTGGGTTCAGTTCTCAACACTGGCATGGAGGCTAACAATTGTCTATAACTCCAGTTCCAGGGAATTCGACGCCCTCTTCTCACCTCTGTGGGCACTGCACAACATGGGAGCACTTAAAATATTAAATAAAATATAGTATAAAATATTTTTTAAAGTGATCAGATAGCAAGTGACTAAGAAGAGCCTCCTTTCTGGATCTTCCTTCTGGACACTGAAAATAAAGCTAAAGAAACGAAAGGGTTTTTTATTTGTCTTTGCCTTTGGGTTTATTTCTTTTTTAAAATTTTTATTAATTATTTTTATTTTTATGCTAATGAGTGTATTGCCTGCCTATATGTACGTGCATCTGTGTTGTGTAATACCTGAGGAGGTCAAAAGAGGGTGTCAGGTCCCCTAGAACTGGAGTTATACAGAAGGTTGTGAACTGACATGTGGGTGCTGGGAACCAAACCCAGGTCCTTTGCAAGAGCAGCCAGTGCTCTTAACTGTTGAGCTATGTCTGCAGCCCCAGGTTTACTATTTCTATGCTGGGAATCTCCAGGTTCCTTTTTCACCTGTCCGCCCTCTCCACACACCCCCACCATCTCATTCAGGCCTGGAGACAAACCTTTGCCTCTTCTGGTAAACCTTTCCTCCATCTTACTGTATATAGGCCATTTACTGTGAATGTTGGTTTATGTTTTTCCTTCAGCATTAGAGCATGAGAGCCTCAGGGTGAATGTTGTTCAGAAAGAGAAGAGGAAGGGAGAGGTAACAGTTGGGGCCTTAGAAAGAACCACTGAATAAACATAGGCGGCAAAAGCCACTGAGAAGTTGTACATTGCTCTGTGAAAAGCATGAAAATTTGTTGAGAAGATGCTACAGAATTTTTCAAATGGCAAGAGTTAGACACATGGCAAATGGGTGATTGTCTTTTCATACTACATCAACCTAAGCAAGTCAGTTCCTTCCATAGTTAAACCTATATTATCTTTGTCCATATAACAAACGGTTAGAATTTTGTAAATACAAAAGCCACAGCAGATCTTTTTTTTTACTTCACATGGCCACAAGTGAACCTGGTAAATAACTTGTGAAAGCTACTTAACCTAAGTTAGACATGGTGTCTTAGGACTGTAATCCCAGCTAGGAGGAGGCTGAAGTAGAAGGATCCTCAATTCAGGTCAGCTCAGGCTGCACAGTGAGCTCATGGCCAGACTGACCAATGTAGTGACAGCATCTCAAAACAACAGTTACTTAATCTCTAACCATGTTACTTCGTTTATCAGATCTTAAATTAAGTTTTTAAGATTGGGCCTGAACTCAGAAAACAAGATCCCCCTAGCTATCTAGCTATTAGAACTGTCTCCCAGAACTGTGCGGATAGATCTCTCTTGTTCCCCTCAACCTGTGCAGACAGTGCCGTGTCCTCACCCTGTTTCTCCCACTGTGTCTCCCAATCAGGCCACACTCGTTTATACAAAATGTTTTCTCCAGCTTCACTGGGGAAATACGAATTCAGGTTCAGCTCTACCCTTAATTCTCACATTCTCACAGACCATCTGTTTTTTGTTTTTGGTCTTTTTGAGACAGGGTCTCTGTAGCCCCAGCTGTCCTGGAGTCACTACGTAAGCCAGGCTGGCCTTGAACTCAGAGATCCACGTGCCTCTGCCTCCCCAGTGCTGGGATTAAAGGCGTGTGCCACCAAGCCCGGCCATCTGGTCTTTTTATCCCTAGTTTGTTAACATTCATCCAAGCTCACACGTCCTTCCCAACTTCCACTGTTTCCAATGGGTGAGTACATTGCTTATAGTGCTTTGATGTGTCAATTCTCAAGCACACCCACAATCACTCATTATCTTTTTGGGTGAAGTACCAAATTGAGGTTGCCAAGCAGTGGCTCATCAGACCCAAAAGCAGTCCCCAAGAGCGCCCAGTCATAAGACCCAAGAGTGCATGGTTTTTCTGGGGTTAAGTCATTAGTTCACATCATATCCATTAATAAAAGTCATTCTTTAATCCCAGCACTCAGGAGGCAGAGGCAGGTGGATCTCTGTGAGTTCAAGGCCAGCCTGGTCTGCATAGCAAGTTCCAGGCCAGTTGGTGCTACAGGGAGACCTTGTAAAAAAAGACCAAAACAAAAAGTCAGTCCTACAATTAGAGAAATTATGAGACTTTCCCCCCAGGATGTATGATGACCAAATGTGGCAATTCATGTCAAAATGGTTTATAAAATATTGGTTGGGGAACAATGTGGAAAATAAGGTTACACTACTATAAACGTTTCTCTGCTCCTGCCCCGACCGCAACAAGCTTCTCCAGGTGCAAGGAGAATAACCGAATTAGCTGTAATTTAGCATCTGCCCTTATCCAGCATGGCAACCTCAGCTACGCCCCCAGCACCTTTCCAGAACAAAACGTCTCCTGCGCTCAGTGATGACGTAACCCGCACCTTGAATGTGGGCGCCAAGTTTGCGCTTGCGCTGTGGAGGGGCGGATGGGCGGAGCTGGTCGGGATGAGCGGCGCGGGTACGGAAACCCCTGTGGGGTGTGAGGCCGCCCAGGGCGGCAGCGGCAGCGTCGGCAAGAAGCGGGACTCGCTGGGGACTGCGGGCTCAGCGCACCTCATTATCAAGGGTACGGAGCGGAGGGAGATGGCGCAGCGTCCGGCCCGGCCGACCCAGCTGCGGCCCGCGCAGGCCTGCGGGTGGGAAGCGTGCCGTTCCGCCTGTCCCCGCGGGTCCTCCCCCAGCCCTGGCCCCCAGCGGCTGGCAGTGCTAGTTCGCCACCCGCACTGTCACGTGGTGGTGTGACTGTCACCGCTTCACCGGGTCTCAGACCCTGCCTACTTCTGGGTCCTGCCGGGAATCCAGGACATTCAAGCGTCCTGAAACATTGTACTACACGGTAGTGCAGACGCCTGACCCCTCTCCTTTGAACTGGTGAACAGTTTCAACCTAGAGTGTCACAGTACCCCAGCCGAGTTTCATTCCCAAAGCTCTGGAGACCCTGCTTCTGGTGGCAAGGCCTGCAATTGGATACTGCGTTTTCCGTTGCCTCTTTTCTCCCTGCCAATCCTGCTCATCCCACCAGCTTCCAGCTACCCAGGCGATGCTATCCTATGATTGCTGTGCTTTCCATTTTAACCTTATTTTTCAGATTTGTAGGCAGCCCCAGCCAGTGCTGGCCATGACTGGATTTAGACTGTATTTCATGGCGTTTCTTAAGTTTACTTTGGTGTCGAGGAGTGCCGCATGGGTATTAAGACTAAATTAGAATTATTTCTATCCCAATTTAGAGACGTATTAAGCCATTTGATAATTAAGGTAAAATAGTGAAATTGATTACCTGCTTTAGTGTACAGTTCAGTGACTTTAAATACATTCACATTGCTATACCATAGCTCCTTCAAGAACGCTTTGCATGGTGCAGAACTCATTCCCGGATCCCTCACAGCATGGCTGCCTCTTATGAAGGATCCTCAGTGTGTTTCCATGCTGTTGCACGTGTCAGAATTTTCTTCCTTTTTAAGGTTGAATACTAGTCCATTGCATGTAGACACCATGCTTCGGTAATTCATCCGTCTGTGAACTCTTGGGCAGCTTCCCTCTGGCTATTGTAAATAATACTATGCTGTGAACATGAGTGTAGAAATATCTTTTCGAGGCTCCGAGTTCAGTACTTGGGACATACACACACATACACTTTCTGGATCATATGGCATTCTTTCGTTTATTTCTTTATTATTTATTTATTTATTTATTTTGAGGCATTGGCTTGTGTTCCGTAGTGGCTACATGCTTTCGTACTCACCCATCTTCACCAGCACTTGTTATTTTCTGTCTTGTGTATGAGTGTATTGCCTGCATGTATGTAAGTGCACCTATGTCCTGCAATGAATGCCTCAGGAGGTCATAAGAAGGTGTTGGAGTCCCTTGAAACTGGAGTTACCAACGTTTTTTTAGCCACTTTGTGGGTCCTGGGACTCGATCCAGGGTCCTCTGAAAGAGCTGCTAGTGCTCTTAACCAATGAGCCATCTTTCCAGCCCCACCAGTAGCCATTTTAATAGGTGTGAGATGATGTGCTTCGGGGTGTTGATTTGCATTTCCATAATCTTTGGTGATGTTAAGTGTCTTTTTATGTACTGATTGGCCAGCTGTTTATCTTTGGAAAAAATGTCTATTTAAGTCTGTTGCTTCATTTAAGTTGATTTTGTTACTATTGAGTGATAGTTCTTTATTCTTGTAAGGCAGCTATGCTCACTGTGCCATCAATACTCTGTATAATTCTCTGTGTTCTTGTATATATTTTATTTATTTTAGACAAATTCTCACTGTGCAGCTCTGACTGACCTGGAACTCGCTGTGTAGACCAGGATAGCTTTGAACTCACAGAGCCACCTGTTCTGCCTCCTAAGTGCTGGAATTAAAGGCATATACCACCACATCCAGTCTGTATATATTCTTAATGCCCTTGAAGAGTTTGCAGATATTTTCTCCCATTTGCCTAATCACTTTTCATTCTTCTAATTGTGCTTTTTGATGCATAGAAGTTTTAAATTTGAAGTAGTATGGGGTTTTGGTTGTTTTCGTAGAATCGAGGATCAACCCAAGGCCTCTCACATGCTAGGCAAGCACCCTACCACTTGAGCTATTATCCAGCCTTTTTACTCTGCATTTTTCGGTTTGAAACTGGGTCTCACTATGTTGCTGGGCTGGCAGTTAACTTTGTAGCCCAGCAGGCCTTGAATCTGAGGTCCTCCTACTCAGCTTCCTTAGTAGCTGGGGTTGTAGGACTAGACAGTTATGCCTAGCACTTTTTTTCTTTTTTTTTTTTTCAGAAATAATGAATGCACTGCTATATTTTAGACTTGAAATTTTCTGTAACAGTAGATTTTAACTGTTCTTACTATGGTGACTGACAGGGAAAGCATTCTGTGGAAGAAGAGGTTAGCACCACTGATGAGAATGCAGTATTTTACAAGGATGCTGGTAAAGGAACCTATGTGACATGAATGGTGTTTCCGTGGACAAAACTGTGACCAGAGGCTTCAGGAACCCAGTGCTGTGTTTCCTTCAGGAGTAATGACTTAGCAATCGTTCAGTGTCCTGGGCAATGTTCTAGAACAAAGTACTTTAGAGAGGTGTTGCTGTGTCAGTTGAAGTAGACTAAGTGTATTGGAGAAGCACTAAGGAAGGATAACGTCTGTTTGGTTACACTACGTGTATTAGTTTTCTGTCACTGTGGCTGAATCTCTGAAGCAGTTAATGGTTAAGGAGAAAAGGTTGATTTTGACTCATAGCTCTGGATAGTCCAGTTCAAGATGAGGTGGCCCATTGCACTGGTTTTCTGGCATGGGCAATAGGATTGTGATAGTATATGGGACAGTAAAGAGACAGAACTGATGAGGTCCCAGTCTCTCCCAGAGACTTCATTCAAGGCTTTTGCACACTCCCAGAGTGTGCCCCCATGGCCCCCCACTAGACCCCATCTCCTCAGCGTTCCTCAGCATCTCAGTAGCACTAGCCTAGGACCAAGCCCTTTATGCATGGGGCTTTGAAGGGCATTCAGCATCCAAACTGTAGCAGGGAATCATCAGGAACAAAAATGATCCTTAGTAAATTGTTCTTTGTTTTTAAAAAATATTTTTATTTTATGTGTATGCCTTTATTGCTTGCATGTAGGTAGGTGCACCTGTGCCCTGCAGTGCCCACAGTGGTCAGAAGAAGACATTGGATCCCCTGGAACTAGAGTTATAGACAGTTGTTAGCTGCCATGTGGGTACTGGGAACTCAGCTCCTCTGTAAGAGAAGCCAGTGCTTTTAGTTGCTGAGCCATCTCTTCAGCCCCTGAAACTTTTTTGCTTGTTTGCTTTTGTTGTTCAGCATTATATTTGTAAGGTGTGTCCATGTTCCTAGGTGTCACTCTGATCTATGTGTTTTTACTCCCTGGTCAGAATAGTCATTGCATGGCTGCTACAGACTTTCACGGATGCCATGTTCATTTGTACAAGGCGTTTTTTTCTAGGTTGTACATCTAGATATAAAATTGCTAAATAAGCGTGCCTTCATTTGCTAGTAGATATCACCAGATTGCCCTTGGAAGTGGTTATACCAATTTAGACACCTGATGGAAGTGGATGAGATTTTCTCCAAATCCATGGTCTGAACTGGATTTTAACCAGTCTTTATCTGTTTGTGGAGAAAGGGAAGAGTAAAATAGGCCAGAGAGTGTGAATTAATCTTGAATTCTATTTTGCCTTTGTAGATCTTGGAGAAATTCATTCAAGGCTTTTGGATCACAGACCAGTTACTCAAGGTGAAATTCGTTATTTTGTAAAAGAATTTGAAGTGAGTATCTAAAACTTATTTAATACAGTGCCCTAATTGTTAATGTTATACTACACAGAAAAGTAAATCCAGAGTTTTAAAACCTGGTTTTATTTTATTCGTTGTTAAAATATGCAAAGCGAAAATTGGGAAGAGATAAAAGTGCTTACTGGGCTAGACCAGACAGCAGGAGACAAGGGTCCAAACTCGGTGCCTGCTCTAGAATATTTAATGTTTGTTAGCTGGAAGTTTCTCACCTATGAAATAAGATATAATGAAAATAATTTAAATAAAAGAACTCAGGGATTGATAGGTCTGGGTTTTCAGGTGCATTTGGTGTTTTGTTTTGTTCTCAGTTGGGGGCTTGAGAATGCTACTTGCTTCTTCTATCTCCTTTGTATCCATGGCAGTGACCATCTCTTCTAGATGTGACCGCATCTGAGAACGTCCCTTGCTTCTGACTGCTGTGCCTGCTTTATCATCTAGTCAGATGCAGATTCCATTCTGCTGGCAGTGTGATCTAACATTATTTCACTTTTTCAACCACTTTGATGCATTCCTAGCTACAAGCTGAAGTCCAGGCATACTTTGTGACCTTCCCCTGCCTTTCCACTCTCTGCACCTGCCACTTCACATTTCATGTAGTAGCGTGCAGCCCTGTTTCATGATACTGAAGTTTTGCACGAGTATAATTAATTTATTGTGCATTTAAATAGTAATTTCCCGAACTTGGCAGTTTGAGGTTCTGTTTTCAAATGAGATTTTGACAAAGCAGGATGTCTGAACCTGTCAAAAGCAATTAACTTTTTTTTTTTTGTCTTTTTGAGACAGGGTCTCCTTGTAGCCCCAGCTACGCCTGCCTCTGCCTCCCAAGTGCTGGAATTAAAGGCGTGCACCACCACACCTGGCAAAAGCAAAAAACCTTTTAATAAATGCTTAAAACCACAGAGAGACTGTGCTATAGAGCCCTCAAGATAGAAGTGTAGCACTGATCAACCGTTTTTGGGTTCAGTAGACCCTGCAATCCAAAAACTGCCTAATACTTCATAAGGTTTTGAAATTTAAAGCTGTGTGTATATATGTTTTTTTCTTATGACATTGTATGTTACCTATTGTATTAGTTACATTTTTCATCGCTGTGACCAAGTACCTGAGAAGCAATTTAAGAGAGGAAAGTTTATGTGACTCACAATATGAAGATACAGTTCACTCTGGTGGAGAAGGTGTGGGGGCTGGCAGCTCCATGGTATTAAGAATATTCAGGTGTGACTCCACACCTCACATCTGGAAGGAACAGGGAGCACAGACTGGGCAGGAAGCAGGGCCTGGCTGTAAACCTCAAGGCCCACCCCCAGTGATCCACTTCCTCCAGTGATACTCTACTTCCTGTAATTCCAAACCTTCTAAAACAGTGTCACTAGCTGGGGACCAGGTGTTCAAACACATGAACCTATGGGGGATTTTTCATATTTGAACCATAACACCAAGAATAACCATTGACAATATTCAGCATCATTGTGATGTGGGTAAGAATATGTAGGACACGGGAAATTTCCCGAGACTCTTCTTACATGTTATGAAAATATCATTACCAATTCCTGCAAGCTTGCTATGAATCTTTTATAGCATATTACATGAATGTCTTTAACGACTCTATTTAATGTTTCATATAGGGATTATGGATATAGTTATCCTTTTTAAAATGTAGTTTATTTAACTTCAAAGTCTTCTGCATTCTAAACTACAACAAATAACAGAATATTGCAAATGGTGTTTAAGTACAAATGGTTCTTGGACCTCCGTGAAGGCCATAGTTCTTCACTCTGCCGACAATGGCAAGTTCTGTGCTTTGCTTAAAAACGTTTTAGAATCTGCACTTAACTAAAAGAAAAAAATACACTTCTCATGCCAGCTGACCCCCCCCCCACATACACACACACATTTTCTGCAAGTGAGAGCATCAGCAGTTTGCTGTGTCACTATGTGCAAAACAGGATGACTTGGAGCTGAATGGATGCCCTCTGCAGTATCGACAGGTCCAGCCTCACAGTGCACACCCTGAGCTGTGGCCCCTTCAAAAGACATCTTCCCCTACAGCCTCCACACCAAGGAGTGGCAAGAGTTTGTCTCGGTCATTTTGTTCTCTTCATAAACTAAAGATATGTACAGGTGACAGCTGAGGATTTCTAGCCAATGTGAAAGTTCCAGAAATATCTTCAGATGCCTTGTTGCACTGGTAGCAGAGTGAGGACACAAGAGCACCTTATTGTTTTAAAAGTGTGTGGAGGGCTGGAAAGATGATTCAGCAGTTAGGAGCACTTGCTGAGCTTCCAAAAAGGATCAGGATTCCCAGCACCCATGTCAGGTACCTCACAACAGCCTGTAACTCCAGTGCCAAAGGATCCAGCACCTTCTTCAGACCTCGGAAGGCATTGTACTCATGCACAACCCACACACAGACATACACATATATACATAAGTGAAAAAAAAAATTGACACAGTTGCAGGACACTCCAGACACCCACGGCCACTTCATGTAAAGCACTGACACTTTGAGAGACAGTATGATCATGATCAAATTTTGAAATTAAACCTAATGAGGGCAGTAGACAGGACTCAAGTGAGATGTGCCAATCAGGGCATTCCCCTACTCTAAAGCCCTTCACAGGAGACAGAGAAACACTTTTTAAAAAACAATTCACCCTCTTCATTTCCTCTTGTACTTTTTTCCAGGCAACTTTCGCAGGACCCATGGCGCCATCAAACTTCTCTTTAGACTTGAGGCAGCAACTTCATTCTCGGCCTTCTCCTTCAGCTTTGTGGCTGTGGTGATGTGTGGCTGCTTTTTACTGTTGTGGCTTAAGTATTCTACATCTCACCCAGCTTTTTGCCACGTCTCCAGTGGAGATGACAGAGATTGTCGATTTTAATCTTGGGACAGAATGCTGAGCAGAGTAAGAAAAATGGAGATGGTGGCTGTTGAGGTGCTAGGGTGCTTTATTCTTCAGCTACTCCATAGCCCTTCATTTCCCAGTCGCAGTGGACTTCATCTGCCTTAGCCATGTCATCCAGCTTCTGTTTCTCTTTGCTGGACGTCCTCTTCCACCTCTCAGGGCGGCAAAATCGGCAGGGACCTCTGGGTTTCTCTTGTGTTCTTCTCTGCACGTTTGCACAAAGCCATAAGCAGATATCCTAGTTAGCTTTAACTTGACACAGCCTGGAGACATCTGGGAAGGGAGTCTCAAGAGGGGAATGGCCTAGATCAGCAGGCATTGTCTTGTTTATTAATTGATTGTCTTGATTGTTAACTGGGGCGGGTGGTTCTGAGTTGTATAAGAAAGCTAGCTAAGCATGATCCTGGGAAACAGCAGGCCAGCAACAGCATTCCTCTGAGGTTTCTGCTTCAGGTTCCTGCCTTGAGTTGCCACCCTGGCTTCTCACAGTGATGGACTGTGACCTGCAGGTGTAAGCCAGATAAACCCTTTCTTCCATAAGCTGTCTTTGGGTAGTGTTTTGTCACAGCACAGAATGGAGCTAGAACAGCAGACCCCTTGCCCTTGGTTTTCATGGGGTCATCTTTAGTCACCCTCCTGATACAGTTCTGATTTAGTTATTCTTAACTGTGGAGTTATAGTTGGTTCCCCCTTTTTCCTTCACTCCAGCAACGACCTTGTCATCAAGTTCACCTCTGAACCACTTCTTTAACCCTCCTACTTGCCTCTTGTGACTACCCCTGCGCTCCAGCCCACTGTCAGCTCTGCCCTGGACACCTGCAGTAGCCTCTCTCTGGTCTCTGCTTTCAGCCTGATTGCCACGGACTGTTTCCCACACAACAGCTAGCTCATACCACACCCTGGCCACCCTCTCTGGATCCCTGCCCACATGGCTTTTCCCCACACTTCCCATAGATCCTGCCCGTTAGCTTATTTCAGAATGTTGGGTGGCCCCTCACTCTTGCTTCTCCTTCTGACATCTGCGCAGCTCTGCACCCAGTGCTGTACCACATTTTCTTCCTTCTTTCTCTGTATCTGTAGTTCCATCTTTCTATAATGTTCCCTCTGCTTTTTGCATGGCTTACTCTTCTGTTTGGATTATAGATTGACTGTCACTACTGGCCTTTAAAGCAAAGTAGTCACAGAAGCACTCTGTCATCTCTGTGATACTCTGAATAACACCACACTTGTTTTCTAATACTGCACAACAAATTACCACATGCTCAGTAGTGGAAAACAAGATCCATTTATTTGAGTTCTGTATGTTGGAAGTCTGCACACAGTGTGACCAACACCTCAACTCAGCTTCCCACAAAACCAAAGTCAGGGTGTCAGCTAGGCTGTGTTCTCTTTTGGGACTCAGGGTCTTCTTCCAAACTCACAGTTTGATAGGATCAAGTTCCTCTCCTGAGGCCACTTTCAACTTCCAAAAGAGACCATAGTCCTTGGTCCATAGCTTCTTCCATGTTCAGAGCTGGGATTTACCTGGAATTCCTGTCATGTTCTCAATCGCTCTGGCCAAGCAGTGCCCTGTCTCTGCTAAGGACTCCCCTTACAAGTCAGGGCCACCAGAGATAATCACTTTAACAGTCACCTGACCTGAGACCTGAATACATCCACAGTATTAAGATCTCAAGCCTTAATCCTTCTCAGTAGCACCTTGATTAGGGTTGAATTAAGTAGGCGATGTTTGTGCACCAGCAGTGGGGATATTGGGACATTTAGAATCTGCTGCTAAAGCATCTACAACACGTGGTTCTGCTCTTTTATTCAGGTACATGTTGTCTGCCTTCATCACTAGGATGTAGGTACCAGCAGAGTGAAGACCTACTTTTCCTGTCCTCTTTCTCTTTTGTATTCAAAATGCCCAAAATAATGTTGGAGACAGGTAACAAACCTAATGTAAACTTGGGTATTCTGACATCCAGTGAGTGGCCTGCCTCATAAGTTGTCTTTCTTGTGGTGAACTTGAAATACCCAATGTTTTTATTAAAACAGTATTTTATTTATTTATTTATTTATTTATTT